TCTGGGACGGCTTCTTCTTCGCTTGGCGCCTGCAGTTATCCACCTCATGGCCACCCTTGGAACTCATTGTTGAAGAAATAAAAATACCTTGTCTAAGATCTATACAATGACGACGTGGTTGTGGACTGGTCAGATATGCTTTAGTTCGAAGGCCTTCCATGCTTATGAAAAATTTTCATTGATGTATTTCGTCGTTTTCTTCTTAATTCTTGATAAGGCGCCACTTCCCCTGAAGCGTCACTTATCCTCGCACTGGGTAGTCCCCTACCCAATTGACTAAGTAACTTTCCTTATCGTCTCCATAGTCATCATCCCCATATCGTGGCCAGTGCACTATTTATTTTACAGCTACCCATACTTCTTCCGACTGGACTCTTGAGATTTGTAGCCTCTGAAGGTGCTAACAAAAAACCTGCAGATTCTTAAGGACTTAATTGTTGATGTGGCCGATAGTGCTACTTCTCACAGGCTAATTTCAGCAATGTCATTCAGCCTTTCGGAAAAAGTTAAAACCGCCTAAATTTCACACGGTGAGGCTCAACAAGGCCAACGTTCACGTCGGAACAGTAATGAGATTGTGTCATTCGTCTGTGCTCGCAGGGATGGGCTGTACAGTATCCGCGGGTATTTCGGAGGGCAAACCTTCCTCGACGTTCCGCTTAACCCTGGTGGACAGGCCTCTCTTGCTCACAGATGCACTAAATCTCATTGAGCCCATTGTTGGTTGGGGATTTTTTGAGCACGGCCACCCTACCTCACATGCTTGGATTTTGCCATGAACGCACAAGACATGAGTGGGAGAGAATCATTTCAGTAGTAGTCAATATTTAGAGGTTATCTAGTGTAGAGCTAAAGTTTAACTCAATCAATGGCAAAAAACGCCTTCGCTCTCGTTGCAGAGGGCAGCTAAGTCACTCAACCTGAAGCGACAGCGCCCCCAAAACCCAGATGATTCGAAAGGGTCACTCTGAAGTTCTGGTCGCGTCTCGATAGAATGTCTCAAGTACATCTTCATCATATTAAATTATGCGGATAAACGGCAGTTAGAAACAAAATGGCTGAAACGAGCTACTTTTGAAGCAAAGAAGTGAATCGATGGATGATTTGCCACTGGTATTAGCTCAGGGTTACCTATAATATGAAACGGTGCAGCGAAAAATTATTACTAAAAATATCTATTCATAACATTCAAAAAAGACTTCTAGGAATAAAAAATAGTTTGCACAGGAGAAGGCGGAGAATTTGCCCTTCTAGCACGAGCCTAACTCCGGTGAAAAGGGTTTTTGGTGGGGATGGGAAGAAGGAACACTCCCTTTTATCTCCTCCTTACTACTGAAGAACACTTCTTGAGTTTCTCTAGTGCAAGGGTAAGATATGCGTGAAAGGCACCTTGGAAAGGTAATTTCAATAAAGTGGTATTAGGTAGCTCATCTTTACCCTGGAGCTCCACACTCCTTAAAGTAGGTGTCCATTTCAGTGATCCAGAACCGTTTCCTCAGACCATGGCAGGCAGAAATGTGAAAGCATCTCAGGTTTCTTTCCACATTACTGCTTATCAGAACTCCAGATGAGTCTATTACGTGTCGTGAGCGCTGTTATTCTTATCTCCGATGTTATAGAGCACAACGGAGTTGGCTCTGCGAACTCTAGTCCTACTGACCGCTCGACTATCGAGCCACTGGGCGTCGTTCATCAGTTGAGTAATGCTAGTAGGCCCCTCTGTTTACAGTGGCCCAAAAACCCTATGGTTTTGTTTATAGATGTTGCAGCAGGATGGAAGATTTGCTTAAATCACCGCTCAAAAGTTTATATGGTGTATGGGTTTCATCTCCAACGACCACTTTGACCTACCACCTTTTTTCTGGCCATAGCAAAAGGAAATTCGCTTTCACCAGAGCGTAACTCCTTTGAATCGGAGAGACAGTGATAGTTTCCCTTCTATCGAGGAACGTAACCCAAAAGCCTGAAGAATGTTTCCGGAGATTGCTGAAATCGTCGCATAGGGTGGATAAACTTCATCGAGAAATCTATGAAAGATGGGCCAACCCCTATAGTGCCGATGTTGGACAAGTCAGAAAATAGTGTAGACTAGGTCGTCGAAAAAATCAGTACTGGAACGGGTATGGTTACACTACGGAGCGCTCCAAACAAATGATATCCCCATCACACAAATGGTAAATGATCGACGGAAACGGCCCAACGCACTGCGCATTAGTTAGTGAACAGAGCTACAACTCAACAAAAGCGAACGCTGATTCTTTGGAGCCTTTCATCCCCTCCCTTTCTCCGGCCAATGTTCATGGAACAATTTTTCCTTAACCATTCCTTTGATGTTTTTCACAAGCTCCTTCACATTACCAATACAGCACAGCATCACACCTTCCTAGTTTCTCTTGAAATGCCGATAAGGGAGAATCACTGAAAGGTGTACCGCACACTACATGCCTGCTTCACGTGAACTTTGTTGGAGAAATTCGCATTAAGAAAGAAATTCAGATATTGATGGTTTTTTTAAGGACTGATGAATGTACAACAAATGGTTTCCTATTGTTCCACGGGTATAATCATTTTTGGAGCAGTAATGAATATCATCTTTATCTATGTGATAAGGAACGGAACAAGGACCTGTGTTGGTCGAGTCTATAAAAATATCATGACATGTTTTGCAGTGTGCAATATCGGCTTTATAATAATGGAATTCATTGCCAAGCCTGTAGGTTGCTTATATATTCACAAGGCATTCAGTAAAGACTGATAAGTGAGAGAAGTTGATCAAGTGTTCTGATCTTCATCGTCGGAGCATATCAGGTCTTTGTTTCCAATGTTTTGACGCATCGTTTAGTGTTGATCTAGGGTATCCACATATACGGCACATCTATAGCGGTAGTCAGCAATGGTATCTTTCAACGAGTGAAACCATGGGGTTTTCTTTCGCTCTGTGTATTTCTAGGAATGTATGGTGTCACAACCGCCCTTCTAGCGTTTCATTTTGTCTACAGATATATCGTCGTTTGCAAGTCAGTATTTTGTTTGGCTACTACTCCTAAGAAATTTTGTCGGCTGCATAAAATAAGCGAACAGATAAAGTCTAGTCTCATCTCAGTACACATACTCTTCTTCTGACCATAAATTGATAAGTTCAGGCCACATTTGCTTCGTATATTTCATGAACCAGTCTGCATCGTTACCGTGACTGTATGTGTTCTTTCTTGGGGTTCTGCATATGGCATCATAACGTTCTATTGCTTTGCCTCCAGCGACAACTACTACAATTATGCAAATGCGTCTATTTATGCAAAATTCGGAGTGGATGCCAACAGACTGTCCTACTTCTGCGTCTTTACCCATGTAAGTTTTGAGTGTTCTGAAGTGAATCATTCACCATGAAATGAGGTTACTTTCAGGAAGTAAAAGAAGATGTTACAATAATTAATTGGCCCTCAACAATAGGCCTGTTCATAGTTTTTATTATGATGGTATTCACGTTTGCCCTGATGATATTCTGCGGCTTTCAAATGTACCGGACACTAAAGAAATCTTCCATGAGTCGGAAGTCAATGAAGTTGCAGACTCAATTGTTGAAAGCGTTAGTTGTACAGGTAGGGCTCTTCATGATGATTTGTTTATTCTTCGTCTTTGAGGAAATGTATTCAGGCAGTCATTCCTTTTTTCACTTCATATTTATCACGAATCGTGATGTACACAAGCGTCATTATGGGGCTTCGTCCATCTCCGTAAGTGAAACTAGGTGTTAGTTATTTGGTTTGAACCTTCTACCCAACATGAACGAACACTTGCTGGAAAATTTTATGTCTACATTAAGCTAGCGAAGTTTGAGCCATGAACTCTATAATCTAATCTAGTGGGACCTATTGAGTACATGGCTATGAGGTGCGGCTTTTTGTCCCTACACGGGATGACTTTTTGTCCCGGGAGTACATGGTCATGAGGTGCGGCTTTTTCTCGCTACACGGGATGCGTAATTGCTATAATAGTAATTTCTGTGCAATTTCTATGCGATTTCGATTTTGTAATTTCAATTGTTTATTCGCTAGGCTGAACATTATATATTCCCCATCTATGTTTACATTTTTTTCCTTGGGTAGCCCTTCAGTGAATCTTTTCCAAAATGTGGTCTTCTCCGCTGTGTCTAGATTTTTTTTGGTACTTGGCCTTGGTAATCTGCTGGGCAGAGAAGGGGTTTTTAGCTCAGCACCAAAATCCTCCAGTGGGCGCACCTTGTCAGCGTCTATGAACCAATCTCGCGAACAAGACAATCATTGTCGCGTTACGGATGTTTCCAGCGAAGTGGGCACGGCGAATGTTGCAATACTGCAAAGCTACCGCCAAAATTCCAGTGTGGAGAATTTCCAGTTGAGCTCCCCTAGCTATGTTTCAGTGACAAAAAATGACACGCAGCGTTGAAGAAACTGATCAAAATCGAAGGCGTTGTTGCACATTTGAGCAAGGAGTGACTTTCCCATTGCACTATTCAAAACCTTTCCTTCATCGCGGTAGAATTGGTAACATTGCTGAATCTTCCTCGGCCCATAGATCAGCGTTTCCTCGTCTATTTCTTTTCATATTCAAAATTGTCGCTTTATGGCATTTGTGGTCTTTCCAACAGCGGTGCCTTGAGCGGCACAGACTTGCGACTGTGCAGAAATTTGCGCCAGTGGGTGCCAAGACCCCGCATGTCCATGATCAGGGTCATATTTGTGATCAGCGCAGAGTATAAATTCCACATAAAAGTTTTTGCCATATTCGACAGGGAGAATATTCGTGGCGCCAAGATAGCGCCGGTGCAGCACAATTGGCATAAGCGCCGCAGATAAAATATTCGTAATCAGCGTATCAAATTAGCTATGTAGACGGAAAGAACTCCGCAGAAGAATCTTCCTGTATCTCTGTGTTCCCACGCGGCGGATCCTTCAAATCCGCTCGGTAACCCAACAAATGCTTGAAGCTCTTACGATTTTTTTGATAATAACGTATTAGGCCGTCTTTGTCTACTAGGTAGGTGGAAACAGTGCAAATGTCCTAAAAGCTGCTCTTTATATTATTCCCCCGAATCGAATTGCAATGTATTTGTTCCGTTCGCAAAACAGTTTGTTTTGGCATTTTCTAGGAACATTGTGTATTATACCCTTAACTTGCAACTCTTTTCACCTTTTTTGTAGCAAAAGCCATGGTTCTATGGCAACACAGAAGAACAGAACGACAACGGATAGATTTTTCTAGCACGCCTCTGTATAGAGAAAAAGCGAGTGTTGCTTCTGATAGAAAGCATTATCCTGATGAACTGACCTATTTCAGAATATACTCGTTCACACCGCTGTTTCTGACAATCTACACTGTGATGGATCCCATTGCAATAATGCTCTTCGTATGTGACTATCGCCAAGTAGTCGGCAATCTCAGAAAACACGTACACCTCATTACTAAAGTCGCAGCAAAACTGTTCGGCAAATCTGTGGTGGCTGAAGGCCTATCGCCTTCAACAACACCAATAAGCAAGGACTATCGAACAGGATGGGCGGCAACCACAGCGTTCTATTGAATTTTTCTGTCTTTGTGAAGAATGAACGTTCTCGTTCCGGTCATCACCAATCAACTACCACCATACCTTTTTGCGCAGTGTATTTTTTCTTTCTATGAGCTGCTAAAGACTATTTCACTTTGCTTTGTGTAGTATTCGTGTTGTGTAGTATTTGTGTTTCAGCTTGATTTTTTCACTTGTTCCGTCCGCCTACCCACTTTTGAAGTTGTTTCTGCATATAATCTCTTGTCTCAAACATCACAGTTGAACCATAAGAAGTGATTCACTTTTCACTTTTTCACTTTTCTTTCCTTTTCATTTTATTTCATGTATGAACATTTTGAAGCGCACACACCTTCATCAAAAAGACGTGGGTATTGCGCTAGGAAATAAACGTCATGTGGCGAAGAGGACTAGTTGTGGAAAAAAGGAAAAGAAATCGCTTCAAAACGCTGAAAATGCATCGAAGCATGGGAATATAACGGAACGGAGCACACCTCGCTGCTTGAAGAAAGATTTCTTGATAAAATTAGAGGACGAAAAAGGGGAATCATAACTAGTGGAAGAACAGGCGGACTTCCTGAGAGGCATGCAGTTCCCGGGAAAGACACTGGCAGACGACCTGGCATGGTCCTCCCGCGGCGCTATCGGCGCCCATCGATTGGCTAGCCAATCACTGAGTACTGGCAGAAAACTCTTCAGTATTTATTTCGAAAAATAAAACGAAGGATCTGAGAGAAGGATGCCATCAAAGTCAAATCTTGTGTTCTTCAAATTCTTGTGAGAGCTACCTCTGTGTTTGAGGGCTTTAGAGAAAGCGTACCAAATTATGCTGCTACCGTCTGATACAGTGTAAATTGCGTTTAAATGATCTCAGATGATATCATCACCAACTACTCATTATTGCTTGTCATTATCACTTACAAACATGGGTTAGTTTTTATAGTTTTTCTCTGATCGTCCACTGTCAGTCTATATCTGTTGGTGCCTGTGTGAGCTACAACACATCCGCTTCAACATGTCCTTACCCACAGAGCCTAAATCTATCACTGGTGAAAAGGTGAACAAGCGACTCGGAGTGGATAGAATGGGAAACTAGCATGCTCCTTTCGCTGCTTCTCAATTCCAAAGGTTAGAGGTCACCATCCCTAGATCATTATCAGTAAGCAAGATGTTCTACCCTGTTTATAAGTCACGAGCGCATGAATAACACTACGGTGCGTTTCAACCCAAAATCTTACACAAATAGTTGTAGACAGATCCATATGGTAAGATAATCTGGTGGAAATCACCTGTATCACCTGTCGTCCCGTTGATCGTCGATTGCTCGAGCGGGCGCCAGCAACGTCTCCATTCGTCCCTGTCGCGTGCAAGAGTTGTCCAGTGGTGGATCCTCGTAAGTCCTTGCTCGCATAGGGACACGAAGTTATCCATCATTCCTTTCCGGCATTAGCGAGACTAGTTTAATGTTCTGAAATTGAAATCTGGCGCTCAGACCATTGGACAAGGGGCGCCTGTTAGCAGTCGTCCACCAGCGACGAGTCTTCGAGTGCAGTGCTAGCTGAAAGTTCCTTCAAGTAGATTCCGTGATTTCTGCCAAGAAGGGATCAGTGTGCACAGATCAGTTAGAGCTTCGCGTAAGCTGCTGAGTCGCCAGTCACAGTCACGGCAACGCGAGGAAACATATAGGCTGGACGTGTCCGTCCTATCCCTTACTTTCGTATCCCTACTCTAGTATGCGGAACTCGCGGCCCAGCGGATCCACCAGGCTAATTTTTCATATCGTTGACGGTGCTGAGTGAGTTTCTCTCCATCTCAACTATCTTTTCTGGCACATCCGTATTCCTCTGTTCTCGCGCGAGCGTTGCGTGTAAATTAGAATTGAAAACATCTTAGTTCTTATCCCCAAGAGTCGCACGTGGCGACTCCCACGCGGCGGCAGGTTCCTCGGAAAATCATTGGTTAGAGTAGCGACATATAATCGCCGATGACCTAATCCTGATAACACTGCATAGAGAGCTCTAGGCCTCTTTGTCGGAATGTTCACCCACTAGGGAACAAACTTCTGACAGTCGGAGCGATCTTTAGATGGGCGACTTGCGTCAGGGCAGTTTGGATATGATTACGGGCATGTGCGAGATGCCTTTGAGTAGCGATATTATGTGCTGTAACTCGATGCCAAACTTCGCCAAGATTTTTTCGCAAGATTCTAATGCTTACTCAGAGGAGCCTATAAGCAGTAATACGATGTCGAGTTGAAAGGGGCAGTAAGCGGATCGTTGTTACAAGGTGGGGTTCCAGCTTTCCCAGGACAAGTGCAAGTTAGGAATTTACTGAGAGTTGCTTCGTCTTGCTTCTCTGCTTTGCACGCAATGTCTGCGATTTAATTGTCACTCCCAGCTCGCCGTTCCCGCTCCTGCTCAGCTCTAGAGCTGAGATGTCCACTATCATATCAAATTAGCGACCGATTGTCTTCGTATCTAGAGCACAGTTGCAGTAAGGCTTCGAGCACATACGCATAGTGAGTTTGTTCGCAGCTGTAAGGCTGCGTTGCTATGAGGGAAGATCTCGGTGTAAGCCCTGTTTGCCAAAGACTTACTGTTGGAGTAATTCCACGTCTTCATGCATAGCCAGCATTCGCTCCGGCTCTGAGCTTTTAGGTGGGGTGGCGTCGTTATATAATATTTATTATAGACCGACGCATGTTACGTCCTGCATAATAAACGCCAAGTTTGGCTGCTGCAACTAAGCCCGGTGTAGTTGCCGGCCCGTCGCGCGAGCTTGCATCACTTCACCACGGGGGTTCAAACAGGATATGTCTTAGACATTTCGCTCACAGCTGAGAATGCATGACCTTATTATGATGAGAGTTGGTTGTAACGAGTCTCACACGAGTTATGTTGAAGCACCGCAGTATGGTGTCGCACAGCGTCGATCTGGAACGCTCCCAATCTCTTAGAGCCGTTCAAATATGATGACTCTCTCTCTAGCTCACGATATAGGTGCACGCGACTCACAATGTGACGTGTGAAAGTTTGTTTGTAGAAGCTTACGAAGAAATCTTGATCAAAACCGACTGCGAGTGACTCGCCAAAATGTCAGCTAGGGCGAACGAAAAAACATCTCAAGCAACGGCGGTTCTGAGAGGGTCTTTTTTCGGGGATGGTCATATCTTTGTTGCATATTTTGAGCCAAGCAGAGTGTTTCCTACTTCTGATGACACATTTCTTCACTTGCATAGAGATACTGTATGCCAACCTTCTTCCTCACACATCGATTTACTAAGCGAGAGCGAAGGAAGCTGCGAGTAAGAGTTCAAGCGGCGAGTCACGGTTTGCGAAGGAGCGTCTTTTCTGCCAAGGCAGGATTTTTTGTCGGAAGTCGGAAGCGTACATAGAGCTACAAAATGTGAGTGTCTGACATTCGTATAACTCGCTATATGTATGCTGACGACGTTCGTATGTGTGGATATGGAGATCGTGCTGAACCCTCTTCGAAACCCTGCTTGCTCGCATGGCTGTCCTTCATCTAGTATTCTGCCGATCCTGTTAAGGATGACTCGAGTGAATAGCTTGTAGATTACAGACAGCAGGCAGATTGGGCGATAGTTGCCAATGTCGTCCAAGTCTCCCTTCTTGTACAGCAACACGGTCCTGCTGGTTTTCCACGGAGTGGGTACCTTGCATTCCGACAGGTAGCGCGTGAAGAGTCGAGCCAGAGTTTTGATGATAACTGGCGGTGCGTTCTTCAGATGTTCCGGTTTAACCCTGTCGAGACCGGGTGCTGTACAATTCTTCACCGACTTGATGGCGTGTCGGACTTCGGAAGAGAGAACTGAGGGGACGACGTATCCATCCTCTTGCGGTTGATAAGTAGGCAGATGGACATGGCTATCGAAGAGATCCGAGTAGAAGTCGATGACTTTCTCCATTGCCCTTCGGGATGCAGTAACTGTTCCATCCGGACGTCGGAGGCAGGTCATCTTGGTCTTGTAGCTGGCAAAGCTTCGGCATTGCGGATGCTCCTCCCAGCCTCTGCTGCTTCAGCTAATACTGCTGCTCTTCGCTCCTTGAGATCTTCCTTTATCGCCTCTCTGCATAGCTTCGCAAGCTCGGACGTGAGTCGGTGATTGCCTGCAGCTCGTGCGGCTCCACGCTGGCGTATCAGTTCGAGAGTTTCCGGAGACAGACGTCCCTTGGTGACTTTCAAACTCTCTGCCTTCTTGCCACAATCGTGAAGATGTTCAACGAGCCGATAGTACTCCTCGTCGATGTTTTCGATGACGGAATCCTCCCATAAGCTGACGAGGGAAGCGAAGTGGTCCCAGTTGATGACTGTCCTGGGGCTTCGCTTCCTGAACTTTGCTGCTCTCTCAACACGCATCGAGAAGTGGAATCTTGCGCGGAGGAGACGATGGTCCGATCCCGTGTAGAACTTTGGAACAACAGCGACGTCGGTCAAGGCAAAACCTCGATTGAGATGATGTGGTCTATCTCGTTATGGAACTGTCCATCAGGTGACTCCCAAGTCCAACGAAGGTGAGGGGGCTTTTGGAACTGTGAGTTACCATGGATGGTGTTGGTCGACATGATAAACTCCGACAGTCTCTCACCCTGCTCATTCCATTCCATTCCGTGAGTACCGATGTGAAGTTCTTCAGCCGTTCTTCTTGGGCCAATCTTAGCGTTGAAGTCGCCGACGATGACCTTGAAGAAGGTATGATCTTCCCTGTAGAACTTCTCCAATTCCATATAGAATGCTTCGTGTTCTTCTTCGTCGTAGCTGGATGTTGGTGCGTAGGCGACGAAGATTGTCAAAGCAGGAGTTGAACCACATCTTCTCAATCTCAAACGTCCGATTCGGGTTCGTAAGGCTTTCGTACGAATCGATGTTTATGGCCAAGTGCGTGTTGACGAGGACACCCACACCGCCAACGCCTGCTGTCGCATGTTCCAAGGAACAGTTCTTCTCCAGTATCGAAAACGGCGTGTAGCGGGCGGTGCCTTCTCGTCTCGGTC